CAACTCCACGGACTCATTGGAGCCCCAGGGTGGTGGAAACAGTAAGGGTTGGCTACTCACGGAAAGGTTGGCAGTTCAGATCCACCCAGAGAGGCCTCTGAAGACAGGCCTTGTGACTTGCTTCTGAAATCACAGCCTTAAAAAAAAGCCCTATGGCAGTGGTTCTCAACCAGTGGGTTGCGACCCCTTTGAGGGTCAAACGACCCTTTCACAGGGGTCGCCCGATTTATAACAGTAGCAAAATCACAGTTCTGAAGTAGCAACAAAAATAATGTTATGGTTGGGGGGGGTCACCACACCATGAAGAACTGCGTTTAAGTGTTGCGGTATGAGGAAGGGGGAAAACCTCTCCTAGGGAGTACACGGTTTCACTGGAACACACCTTGGCCACCCTTATTGCTGTCGCTCTATTTTGTTTCTCTTTTTTGCCATGGTTGGCATTTGTGGGTGCGTGTGTTTCTCAGTGAGCATGCCCATTTCCCTGCATCCCTATCATCCCGTTCTGCAGACCAACATAACTGCGTCTTTCATCAATCATTGGCAAAGATGGCAGGTCTCGGAGCAGGACTTACAGGTTGTCCAGGTGGCTCTTGGTAGTGGTGCAGAAGGTTGCGGTGTGGCCGGGGTCAGGCGGGACGGACCCTGTGGCGGCCCGCAGCATCTCCCCTGCCAGCCTCCATGAGGGCCTCAGCCCCTCTCCCCATGGGGTTCTGGCCGTTCGGGGGTGATGCTGACATGAGGCGTTTCTATCAGAGGGCAGTAGCATTGAGCTGAGGGAACAGGAAGGCGGGGCATATGCAGGCTAATGACTTTCTGGGCTTTCTTTTTTTCCTGAGAAGGCAAATACTTGATTTAGGTTCGTCTATGTTGCAGAGAACGATGCCGGGTGAAGGTTCTGAGGATGAGAGCGAGCTCCTTGATCAAGCAAAAATAAAAGCGATGACTCGCGTGGGAGGTGGCTCGCATCACATTGTCGATGCTGTTTCTTCTTGGGCGATGATTAATTCCTAACTCTCCTTTCTCTTCTTGGTCCCCCTCAGCTCACACTCCAGACAACAGCTTTCTGGGGTTCGTGGTGGAGCAGCACCTGAACTCCAGCGACATCTACCACATCAACGAAATCAAAAGGCAGAACCAGTCCCTGGTGTATGGCAAAGTGGATAGCTTCTGGAAGGTGAGCCCGTCTGCACGCGTGTCTCTTTCTGAAAAGAAGTTTGCCGGGGAATTTAATTTAACCGTGATCCAGAGAGTAATCAAGCCAAGTGCCCAGGGCTTAATGGGATCTGCTTAGAAGTACGCAAGCGTGTTACAGAATTTGGTGCCTCTGTGTTTTTTGATTATCTAATAAAGACAGGCTCTGTGCATGCGTGCAGCGGCTGCACCATAAATACCCCACTCTCTGCACTTAGGTCGTGACCCAACATGTCCCTTGTCCTTGCTTCAGAGAGTGGAGACCTTTCTGAAGCCAGGCACGACTTAGAGACC